GTTCTCATGGTAGTGAGTGAGTTCTCCTCAGATCTGGTCATTTAAAAGTATGTAGCGCCTCCCATCTTTCTCTCACTGCTGCTCCCACCATGTAATATGCCTCACTCCCACTTTGCCTTCTGCCAAGATTGTAAGTTCCTTGAGGCCTTTCAAGAAGCTGATGTCACTATGCATCTTAGATAGGCTGCAGAACCATGAGCCAATTAAACCTCTTTTCCTTATAAATTACCCAGTCTCAGATATTTCTTTATAGCAATGTGAGAACGGACTAATAATACATGATAATACTTTAAAGTTGATGAGAATGAAGGGTATTTTTTTCAGATGCTGACTATGCTGCTGCAACCACCTGGATCTCACTATCCACATTAACATCCCATAGAATGAGCAACTAGATTTTCACTTATCCCTTTCCCTGAATATATTTGTCTTAATTTTCTTATTGTAAAGATCACTATCTTTAGAAATGCAGTCAAGGCTTAATAATCCAGTACACAGTAACATCATTAAAATCTATAGCCTAAGATGAAACCATGCTACAATAGTAACTTTCCAGAATTCCTAATAAGACTGAAGATAAGAGTCAAGTGGGCACCTATAAAACTGAATTTAGTAGTCAAATTTTAAGATACATCAGGAAAACATATTTTGGCCTTTGAAAACGGTGGCTCACGCCTGTAATCCCAGCACTTTGGGAGGCCAAGGCGGGTGGATCACAAGGTCAGGAGATCGAGACCATGGTGAAACCCCGTCTCTACTAAAAAATAGAAAAAAAAATTAACCGGGCGCAGTGGCGGGCGCCTGTAGTCCCAGCTACTCGGGAGGCTGAGGCAGGAGAATGGCGGGAACCCGGGAGGCGGAGCTTGTAGTGAGCCGAGATTGCGCCACTGCACTCCAGCCTGGGCGACAGAGCGAGACTCCGTCTCAAAAAAAAAAAAAAAAAAAAAAAATTTAAGAAAACCTGATTCAATAGTTTTGAAACCTCAGCCTAGAAGTAGACTGCTCTCAAAAGCAAACAGATTTGTGGGCAGTCAAAACTTGCTTTGCAGTTAATTTGTAAAATTCAAATTGCTTATTCAGTACTCTATAAAAAATGATGCTTTACAATTCTTGAAAATTTATAAAATTATGTCCACTTCAATCTTTCCATTAGGTAAGATTAGATAATATTACTACAATTAGGTAAAGTGAGCCTATCGTGCTGTGGTGCAATAAAACGCGCAGAAAGAAAGAAACAGAGAGAGGATAAAGGGACCGGACTGCCCAGTGTCTAGGAGATCCCCCGTTTCAGGAATTTGAGCTGAAAATCTTTCATAAGATGGTACAAGTTATAACAGCTGAAATGCATATAAGACATCTAAAATATGAGTTGTCACATTTTGAAGTCATATAAAAGAGGGCATCTGTCCAGTTTGACATTCTTTCATTTATTCAAGCTGACTAGATTAGATGACCTTCTCAATGACAACAGTGTCCACACCTCTTCAATTGCTATCAAAACCTCTCACAAATCAAAATATGCCCCCCAAATATATTTCCTACTTCTTTGCATAAACCATTTTGCACTTTACCATTTTTATCATATTTCAAATGAATGGAAGACAGTTCTAAAAATTTAATATTCTTTCAGTGTACTGCAGGTCTGAGATAAAGTCAAATACAGAATTCAAGTAGTTTAATTATTATTTTATGAACTGCTTTTCCATCAGTTTGGAGATTGAAAATTGTAATAATTAAATTAATTGCAGCAATGTGAATTAATTTTTAAAATATTGCTATCTATGTGTTTTAATAATAAACTTTGTATTTTTATGTAGGTAGTCATATGTAAAAAAATTTAGAGAGTAAAACTATCTTACATATTGTCATTCATTTTTCTTTATTCGGTTAAAGAAGTACTCAAATCCAAGAGCCCTTTAAAGAAACAACATAAACACTGATTTGGAAATGATAGTTGAAATTATTTTGATTTTTATATTTAAATTTGATTGTTTTATTATTCAGTAATTGCTAATTGGCTTAATATCCTGTGTTAATTTAAAAAATTTTAAAGATCAATGATTAAGAGCTAAGTACCTTCAATAACCTTCTTATACATTATTGTGTTTTTTTCATCTCTTAATAATCACATGGTAAAAATCTGATAGACTCAAACTTCTTAAACCACTTAGTTTCAGTGAGTATTTTGTGTTTGGGTAGTTGTTGTTGAGTCTACCATTTACCTTACAATAAAAAGGCTGAACTTCTTCTCTGCCTGCCCTTCAGACATGTCTTCATACCTTCTTCGGGATGGAAATAAAACTCAATCAAACATGCTGGAACATATTTACACACAACACTCTTAATCTGGCTTTTTCAAAGGTTTTTTAAAAAACTAAAATGTCTTCTCTGTTGTGGTTTTGGTTTACTTAGATAATAAGCATAACCAGAAAACACTGAACACATGTTTATAGAACAACTTGTTATTTGTGTAAAACTGTCCATCATACTATGGAAGATACAGAGATAAATAAAACATAGTCCCTATTCCCCAGGTATGTGGGAAAGTATAAACTGGCCCCCACTGATTACAGTGAAAAACCAATTTCACAAAACGTAGATTTTAAAATCTGTGAAATTTTTGTATGGGATTCCTGAAAAGTAAGACAATGCTTAGAGCTAAAGCAACAGAAAACATTTTGTCATTTATATTGAAACATAGAAATATAAACAGAATTTGAAGAATTACATTATATTTTACTATGTATAAAGCACTCTCATATTCAATATCTCATCTGTTTCTTTAATCTTGTGAAGTAATCAGAATGGTTACATCATCACTATTTTGAGGATAGAGAAAATTTGTTTACAAAGGTTAATGATTGGTTAAAAATCAGTAACAAATCTATAATTCAACCTAGAACTCCTAAATAAGCCAAGTTTTTGTTTGTTTTGCTTTTAGCTTTTCCTTCAGAAAAAAAAATAAATAAATAAAGGTTGTTAAAAAAAAAAAGGAAAACTTTTCTACTTCCCTAAGAAACTCACAAGAAAGGCAAATTCATGATTATATTCCTGAGTGCCTCTTTTAAATATATTAAAAATACTTTTTTCTCACAGCAATCTAAGTGATCCTGAATCATTTATGACCATAAATAGTCAGGATCATGATTTTATAGCTTTCTGGACAGATAGCACTTTCAGCATAGTGAAACACCATTTGTAGGGAGCTTCAGATGACTGTCAAAAGGAAACAGGTATCCTACTAAAATATTAACCAACACCACATTCTTTGTAATATTTAAGGAAGTAATTCTAAATATTAATTTCAACTACTGGTATCAATATAAAGTTTATTCAGCAAGCTTTTATAGCATTCACTATGTTAGGAAGATGTAAAGAACCCTTGAGGTTCAACCTTATTATTTTACATACACTGAAGAAAAGTACCCCATAAAGTTACACACCTGGTTAACAGTTTCCTAAATATTTTTTCATCGTTATTTTCATAAGCAAAGATAAAGTGCTTGGATTTTTAAAAATAGATTTCTTCTATTTTGATGGCATCTCTAATATTTTCAAAGCAATCTCTTAACAGATTCATATTCTTGTGTAATATGTAAATATTAACGCATCATCTTAGCTTTTATGTTACCCTTGCATTCAAAAATATTTATTGACCACATAATATATTTAAAATACTCTTTAGGTAGTTTGTATTTTGTAACAAATCAGAGAAAATACAAACTATTTGAACAATTATTTGTTCTGTTTGGTTTTGCCTTGTTAAATACTATTGCTCTTATATTGTCCCAGGATAGGATTATGATTGTTGCATCTGAGAATAAGCATTTCATGAAATAAACTTTTTAAAAAATATTGACAATAATACTCGTTAAGCACTGAATATAGTACCAGCAAGGGCATGACATAGGTTTCACCGACCCCACTTGGGACAATATGCAACGTGAGGCTTAGACATGTAAACAACCCACTGAAGATCACAAAAACAATCAGTGGTGTAGCTGAACTAAAACTCAGGTTCTTGTGACTGAAGAGCCCCACCTTTAACCACCATGTCCATCAGTTCCGGTATCACGATAGTTTAGGTCTCTCTGTTCTAAAAGTTTATAAAAATGAAATCATACCAAAGATATAGAAATAAAGTAGGGTGGAAGTGGTTTTCCCATTGAAGGGGGTGATTTTGTGGCTGTCAGTGTTTGGAATTCTTTAATTAATAAACATACTCATTGTCTGCCCCTGAGCACACTGCTTCCATTGCCTTTACTTTTGGATGCCTCAACACCCCCATGGCATGTACTGTCCTGTGACTGTCCTCTTTTATGTGGCATAATGTCTGTGAAATTTACTGATATCATTGCAAATATTACTAAGTGGTTCCCTTGCACTGCTGAATAGTATTCATTGTATACATGTACTGCAATTGTTTACTCTCTATTTATGGCCATTTGGTTCGTTCTTAAGTTTGGATATGATAAATAATTATACAAAAATATTATTGTACAAATCGTTATGAACATGTTTTCTTATTTGTTGAGCATAATCTTAAAAGGAGAATTATTAAATCATAAGGTATATGTATGATTAAATTTATATGGAGAGATAAATAGTATTCCAAAGTATATCCATTTTACATTCCCACCTGTATGGTACAATGCTTTCAATTTCTCTGCATACTGTCCCCACACTTGGTATTATTAGCCTTATTAAAATTTAGCAATTATTTTGTTCGTGCAGTATATAGTAAGTCATCACTTAATACCCTCAATAGATCCTTGAAAACTGCAACTTTAAGTGAAATGACCTGTAGGAAATCCATTTTCCCATAAGCGAATTAATATAAACCAGAGTTAAGTTCCTCTAGTATATTTCTGGTCATGAAAACACCACCACCAAACTTCTAAATGAAGACAAAAGCACTTCTAATATTAATCTTTGAAATAAATGTGAGCGATGCATACATTTAAGAAATATTAATAAAAACAAGTAAGATAATCATTTACCTGCTTAGACAAGTTCAGGGTTACAGGTGGTTGGAGCCACTCCTGGCAGTTCAGAGCTAAAGAAGAACGACCCAGGACAGGATGACATCCCATCAGAGGGTGCACTCACACCCACACTCACACAGATTAGGACTATGTGGACACGCTAGTTCACCTCGTGTGCACAGCTTTGGGGTGTGGGAGGAAGTCAGGGTACCTAGAGAAAACCCACATGGGAAAAAAGAGCAAACTTTATACAGATGGTGGCCCCATCCTATGAGCAATTTTTTATTCATTCTCAATATTATAATGAAAGGATATTCAATGAAACACTATTTGAGAGTCTGTATTTCACTTTTGTTTTCTCTGAAACCACTGATGTTAATCAACATTTAATGAGCTGAATAGCCATTTGCATATCTCCTTTAGGAAACATCTAGTCAATCTTTTTTTATTCTATTTATATAATGTTGGATTTCTTTTTGCATTATGTTTTATAAGTGATTCCTATATATTCTGGATATAAGTCATTCACTAAGTATTTTGAAAATGATCTTTTGAAGAACAGAAGTTTTTTTTTTGTTTGCTTTGATGAGGTCCATAGCACCATTCTTTTTTCATTTATGGTTTATTCTTTTCATATAAAAAATTACTGTATAAAAACTTTTTCACTAAACAAAATTACTAATAATTTATATTTTATTTTTCTATGAATAGATATTTTATATTTTATGCTCACATATTGTTCTGTAATCCACTTCCATTTAATTTCTATTTGACTTTTGTATATTTTATGACAAAAAGATTCAGGATCAGCATAGTCAATTGTTCCAAAAGGATTTTGAAAATATATTATCTGTATTAAATTAATTTTGATATTTTGTTGAAAATCAATTGACTATATATGCATGTGTCCATTTCTCAAGATTTCTCTTTCACTGATCAAATTTCCATTCTTACATTAATACCATAATATGTTGATTACTATGGCACTATAGTACATTTTAAAGTACATAGTGTAAATCCCCCAAAATTTATCTTCTTAAAGTTTTTGGCAGTTCTCAGTTCTTTTCATTTCCGGAATAAAATAACTGAAATTTAGAGATATTAAATAGCTTCCCCAAATTGAGATGAACAGGTCCAGGAATTAAATGCTGGTTGTTGTAGTTCCTGAAGTCATTAGTAACTCCCTGAGTAACTAATAACCATCCAAATCTACTAATAAATTGCTTAATTAGTCACTGAAGACATAAACCTAAACTCATTTCCTTTTTAAATAAATCTATTTCATTTTTCAGCCAGAAATAAACTATGCTTATTGATAAATTTATTTTAACATTATTTAATAAAATAACTTTTTAAAAATACTTTTAAATTCTGGGGTACATATGCAGAATGTGCAAGTTTGTTACATAGGTCATGGTGGTTTGCTGCACCCATCAACCCATCATCTAAATTAGGTATTTTTCCTAATGCTATCGCTCCCCTAGCTCCACCCCCTGACAGACCCCAGTGTCTAATGTTCCCCTCCCTGTGTCCATGTCTTCTCATTATTCAACTCCCACTTATGAGTGAGAACATGCGGTGTTTGGTTTTCTGTTCTTGTGTTAGTTTGCTAAGAATGATGGTGTCCGGCGTCATCCATGTCCCTGCAAAGGACATGAACTCATTCTTTTTTTATGACTGCATAGTATTCCATGGTGTATATGTGCCACATTTTCTTTATCCAGTGCCACAATAAACATACCTGTGTATGTGTCTTTATAGTAGAATGATTTATAATCCTTTGGGTATATACCCAGTAATGGGACTGCTTGGTCAAATGGTATTTCTAATTCTAGATCCTTGAGGAATTCTCATACTGTCCTCCACAATGGTTGAACAAATTTACACTCCCACCAACAGTGTAAAAGTGTTTCTATTTCTCCACATCCTCTCCAACATCTGTTGTTTCCTAACTTTTTAATGATTACTATTCTAACTGACGTCAGATGGTATTTCATTGTGGTTTTGATTTGCATTTTTTGAATGACCAGTGATGATCAACATTTTTTCATATGTTTATTGGCTACATGAATGTCTTCTTTTGAGAAGTGCCTGTTCATATCTTTTATCCAATTTTTGATGGGGTTGTTTGTTTTTTTATCGTAAATTTGTTTAAGTTCTTTGTAGACTCTGGTTATTAGCCCTTTGTCAGATGGATAGAATGGAAAAATTTTCTCCCATTCTATAGGTTGCCTGTGTGCTCTGATGAGAGTTTCTTCTGCTGTGCAGAACTTCTTCAGTTTAATCAGATCCCATTTGTCAATTACGGCTTTTGTTGCCATTGTTTTTGGTATTTTAGTCATGAAGTCTTCGCCCATGCCTATGTCCTGAATGGTATTGCCTCGGTTTTCTTCTAGGGTTTTTATGGTTTGAGATGTTACCTTTAAATCTTTAATCCATTTTGAGTTAATTTTTGTATAAGGTGTAAGGAAGGGGTCCAGTTTCAGTTTTCTGCATATGACTAGCCAGTTTTCCCAACACAATTTATTAAATAGGGAATCATTTCCCCATTGCTTGTTTTAGTCAGGTTTGCAAAGATCAAATTGTTGTGGATGTGTGGTATTATTTCTGAGGCCTCTGTTCTGATCCATTAGTCCATGTGTCTGTTTTGGTACCAGTACCATGCTATTTTGGTTACTGTAGATTTGTAGTGTAGTTTGAAGTCAGGTAGCATGTTGCCTCCAGCTTTGTCTTTTTGCTTAGGATTATCTTGGCTATGTGGGCTATTTTTTGGTTCCATATGAAATTTAAAGTAGTTTTTTTTTCTAATGCTGTAAAGAAAGTCAATGTTAGCTTGATGGGGATACCACTGAATCTATAAATTAATTTGCGCAGTATGGTCATGATGCTGATTCTTCCTATCCATGAACATGGAATGTTTTCCCATTTATTTGTGTCCTGTCTTATTTCCTTGAGCAGTGGTTTGTAGTTCTACTTGAAAAGGCCATCACATCCCTTGTAAGTTGTACTTCTAGGTATTTTTTTCACTTTGTAGCAATTGCAAATGGGAGTTCACTCATGATTTGGCTCCGTGTTTGTCTGTTTACCAGTGTATAGGAATGCTTGTGATTTTTGCACATTGATTTTGTATCCTGAGACTTTGTTGAAGCTGCTTATCAGCTTAGGAAGGTTTTGGGCTGAGATGATGGGATTTTCCAAATATACAATCATGTCATCTACAACAGAGACAATTTGACTTCCTCTTTTCCTATTTGAATACCCTTTATTTCTTTCTCTTGCCTGATTTTCCTGGCCAGAATTTCCAATACTATGTTGAATAGGAGTGGTGAGAAAGGGCATCCTTGTCTTGTGGTGGTTTGCAAAGTGAATACTTCCAGTTTTTGCCCATTCAGTATGGTATTGACTGTGGGTTTGTCATAAATAGCTCTTATTATTTTGTGATGTGTTCCACTAACACCTAGTTTATTGAGGTTTAGCAAGAAGGGGTGTTGCATTTTGTCAAAGGCCTTTTCTGTATCTGTTGAGACCAGATGGACTCACAGCCTAATTCTACTAGAGGTACAAAGAGGAACCGGTACCATTCCTTCTGAAACTATTCCAAATAATAGAAAAAAAAGGCTTCCTCCCTAACTCATTTTATGAGGCCAGCATCATCCTGATACCAAAACCTGGCAAAGACAGAGCAAAAAAAGAAAATTTCAGGCCAATATCCCTGCTTAACACCAATATGAAAATCCTCAATAAAATACTGGCAAACCGAATGAAGCAGCACATCAGAGAGTTTATCCACCACGATCAAGTGGGCTTCATCCCTGGGATGCTAGGCTGATTCAACAAACACAAAACAATAAACGTAATCCATCATCTAAATAGAATCAATGACAAAATAGCTTTTTTATTTCTCTAATTTTCTCTGAAACAAATGCTGCTTGTATTTGAAAAAAAAATAAATGTAAAGCCAGCTTCTTTCATTTAAGCAAATGTAAAGAATAGCTCTGCTATGAATAGCCTATGATAGAATTAATACTGTTTAAAAATTACCACAATAATCTTGATAAGTTTCTTTATGATTTCTAGGAATGGTTAATAGAAGAAATGTATTTCAAAATTATGTTAGTTCACTTAATCAATTTTTCTCAATGTATGTCTAAAAAATTTCATCACTTTTCTGCTCTAGAAAGGACTTTGGGAAATCTGCCCAGCAATCATAAATGCTGCTTTCATCCTGCAAGTGATCTTCCTTTGCATGCCACTGAGCCACAGGTTCATGAGCAAGAGAGTAGAAGGTATGAAGCATAAACTTCTCAACTGTAAAGGCAGGGTGGATAGAAAGTCAAATATAGAAAACACACACTTCCATATTTGAATACAAATGAGAGTGATACACATTATACTAGTAATTAGATTAGAAAAACAATATTTCAAAGAGAAGTCTAAAGGAAATAACAACATGATACGCAAAAGAAATCTAATATATATTTTCTGTGTTTTTGTTTTCTTTCAGTCAGATTCATTTATAAGGCCTCTGCCAAATTAATTTAGCTCCTGATATAGGTACCATTTTTTTTTTTTTTTGAAGTGCTAGTCAGAATTCATTTTCACAGATGCTCTTTTTAATCTTCACAATGCAGTTAAGTGGATGCTCTCAAAGGCCCTCTAGTTTCTTGTATGTCTTGTTTTGGAGATGCAGAGTCTTCCCAAAGTGAATATCTGTATTTAGCTCAGGTCTACACAGTTTTACATCTCACAGGATTGTTTGGTTAATTTATATCTAACACTATTTCATTTTTTCAGGACCGAACTTACTGTATAATTGTATTGAGCACAATAGACAATTTCAAGTGAACACCAGGGGTACATCCAGTCAGCTTTTTAGTTTGCTCCATATTAAGTTTTCTTTTCATATTAATCTTGCTTTTCTATTTTAACTCTAATTTTAGATAAGTATTATTCCTTTGAAAGTTTTGATGTTCCTCTTCCAAAATCTGGGTTAGTCTGAGAATAAGAACATTTAGGTGATAGAGTCATTAAACATCCTAATGTGTGAAAATTCATCAACCATATGTTTGTAAAGTCAGTCTACACTATGTAACTGTCCCTCTCAAGTAGTTAAGTAAACATCCCACATTGGGAAAAAAAAAAAATAGCAACTATTTCTTAATTTTAAATCCATCCAATCTTTTCATGTGTCAGACACACAGCAACAATGATTACAGGAAAATGATGGTGAGAACATTTCCCTAGATTACTTCTAGAGAAATGATCTCAATTTGGCTTATATAATGGCTTCATAGAAAAAGAATAGCCTTTGACAATCAAACATGGTCATTTCATTAGTCAGTAATATAAAGATAAACTAGATTCAAGTGAAGTTTTCTTAAAGTCAGTATTACTTGGACAGTAAAACTCCGGGCATTGTCTCTTCATCTTGCAA